TGCTTAACAGAGTTTTTGAATTGCGTGAGGAAATTATTCAATTACTGACTAGTCAAAACTGTTATTTAGTAAAAGATTTTGAGAGTAATGATGCAATGCTGAGGCTGGCCTACTTAGCAGACATATTTAGCCATTTAAATGAATTGAATCTATCAATGCAAGGATTTGGTATAAATATAATAATATCTAGTGAAAAATTATCTTCATTTATCGCAAAATTAGAAATTTGGATACGTCGAGTAGAAAAGGGGAATTTTGCAAACTTTCCCTTGCTTGATTCTGTTATTGCGAAAAATGAAAAGAATACAATTATACCCGACATTGTAATACATTTGAGACGATTGAGCGAATCATTCAATGGATATTTTTCTACCGGAAATATTACCAAAACTCAGAGATAGATACTGGATCCATTTCTATTTGACTTAAATTTGATGGATGATAGTGATCTGAAAAAAGATCAACTTATTGAAATGCAAGCAAGTGGATATGTTCAAATGGAATTCGAACAATTAGAATTGCAACAATTCTGGTGTTCACAGTTACAACGTTATCCAGAGTTGGCGAACGGAGCACTGCAGTTACTCTTCATCGCTTTTGCATATAAAATCTAAAGTGAGAAATCGCTTAAATGCAAGTGATGACTTATGCGTATGTCTTTCAAAAAAGGAACCTCGCTTCGCCAGTATAATAATGAACAAACAACAACAGACTAGTCATTAATAAAAATAATATTGTTTTGTATTTATATAAAATGTACAATGTTTTTCAATAAACAATAAGTTTCGCAAAAAATGTATTTTTCTAGACTAAAAAAATTAAAACACATTTTTCAATGGGGTGCAGGAGATATATTTTCAGATTCAATGGGGTGCGACTCGCTAGAAAGGTTAAGAAACACTGGTCTAGAGTAAAATAGCATGTTGGCTGCAGCTTTGAGTGGGTATGTAACTGGAATTCGACTTTTTCTTTTTGGCACTCGACTTTCTAAGACTGAGAAGGAACCAGATGTGCAGCACGAGCCACTGGTTGGGCATCCCTGCTTTAGAAGTTTGCTACAACAGTATAACTTGCAGGCGTGCTGTGAGACAAAGATCTCACAAAAGATCTGGATATTTATTGTTTACTTTTTGACAGTTGTTTTGGAGTGACTGTCTTGAGACCAAATGCTCCTTGATTCTCTCCTTGCCAGGAGCAGAAATCCAGATGGTCATGCATTTCACAAGCACCTTCTATGAGTGAACATCACCATTAAAATAGACAACTAAAAATAAAAAAAATGGGAGCAATTGATTCACTATACCGATCATGGAGGGCATCATGAGACAAAAACCGTGTTGACAGCAAGCGGCATCTACCACAGTGGTGACCTTAGAATGTGATTGGATGCTCTGCTGCCATCCCTCGTACATAGACAAACAGCTATGTCATAGTAGCATCAACCACATGTTCATGCAGTCATGCCAAACCAGCCAGTGGCATCATAGTAGCTACAGTTCAAGCCCTAACCACACAAACCTAACGGCAAGAATGTATACCAACAGATTGAGGTGAAGATCTCTCAAATAGCACTCATGGCCTCAAAATGGGTTCACTCTTGACATTGTAGAGGCTATCTGTCGGAATATCACACATATCAAATTCATGTATTGTGGGAGCCTATACGGGGGCATTGCAAGCGCTGCCCACAAAAGATCTGGCTGTTTATTGCTCTCTTCTTGACAACTGTTTTGGAGTGATTGGTAAAGCACCAGGCTTAAGACCAAATAGTCCTTGCTTCTGATCTTGCCAGCAATAGAAATCCAGATGAACACACATTTCACAGCACCCTCTATTGGCAAACATCGCCGTTAAAATATCCAGATAAAAACTAAGAAGTGGGAGCAATTGGTTTATTATATGGACATAGACGGCACCATAAGACCGGCTATGTCTTACTACAACAATTGTCATTGACAACAAGTAGCTTCCATTGCAAACTTAATATTAAGTGTATAGGAAATTTGATGCGACTGAAAAGTTCATTCGTTATAGCATGGTTCGACTATATGTGGTTTAGCATGTATAGAAAATTTATTTAATCAACAAATTTTCAAATGCCAAGTTTTGATATACAAGTTGTTAGCTGGTTTGCTTGCATTCCACAAAATGACCTACATTATTTATATCAGGAACAAACAGGGAGATATTATTAAAAATAGCACCTGTTTGTAGCCTTAAAAATGAAAACACAATGAAGAAAAATGGGATAAAAGTTTTAATAAATCCAAAATTTCAGTTCTAGCATTTTTTTAAAGGCTAGTAGTGCTTTTAATTTTAGTATCGCATGTGTAAAATACAAAAGCAGAATTAGCATAGAAAACGTACTATATAGGAGTTTCTGTAGAAAGTATTTACCATATTTACTTGCATATTTCTTCCTCCTGCATACTTTTCACAGTTTTATCAGTATATTATTTAGAAACTTCTTATTTATGGTAGCAATATATTTAAATGGATGCATGAATGGGAAAATGTTATATGCAAATAAAAATAATATTGAAATTGACGACTCCTTTGAAATACATTCTTAGGGTCTTTATGTGTGCTTTTTAATGTGTTATGCCCTATGAAATAATGTGTGGCATTTTTATAAAAGGGTTTTCTCCACCTCAAAATGTTGCTTTCTCTCTCTCATTTATTCTTCCCCCCTGCTATATTTCCCTCTTGTACTAGCTTTAGTTTCTTTTATCTACAGTTGTATTTAAAAAAAAAAAAATACTTTTACAGCCTATAACTCTTGATTAAGTATTTCTTAAAGAAAGAGTGTGTTTTGATATTTACTTAATAAATATCAAAATTACTTAATAAATATGGCTAATAATCCAGATTTCTTGCAAAAAGGGAAAAAGGAGATATGTATAAACAAAACGTAGATAAATATGATGTATTATCCTTTCTCTCTCTCTAATGTGTATACCCTTAGCCCAGTGGTCCCCAGAAACCTATTTGTACATGAGTAGCATTTAATAAATATTTAGAAATTAATATTTTCACTTTTAGATTTTACTTTAAATATTTAGCAATTATTATATATTCAACTTAACTTTACAAAAAAGGGACATTGTATAAAGATTTTTCATTTTCTTGTTGAATAAATTAAATATTAAAAGAGTATTGATAATATTCTTTCCCAATAGCAGTTGTATTTAACCTTTTTTGAAAAGCAACAGTTATTTTCTTCTTAATTGATAGCATTTATTAGTTTAAGTAAACATGAAAGGTAAATTTAAATAAATGTGAAAAATAGTTTAAATTAAATAAACAAGATAGTTTGAATAAATTATGTGCAAAAGTTAAATTTTATGTATAATTTCAGAAACTTTAAGCGTATTACATTTGCTTTCTTATAGAGAATGTATTGTTTCATTAGAAATTTTGAATCGCTTTTCAAATAAATATAATTATATTAGTTATAAGTATTAAAATAGTATTTAATGCTCAGCATGTGTATTTAATTTCATCATGTTTATAGTTGTGTAAAACCTAGCATACAGTATTCACTAAAAAAATTTCAGTTAATGTTGATGATTGCGTTGTTCCTTAATCTTCGAATTGAATCTGGCTTATTATTTTTTGCAGACTGTAAGAGCAATTTTATAAAAGCTTGAACTTTTGATTATGTCAAATAGAATTTCCGATGCTGGAGCTCCCATAGGATCTAGAAAACGAAAGTATGTTTCGATGTTCATCAAACAAAAAACGAATTGCTACAAAAAATGGATAAAGGCATATCCTTTGTTTATCTAACTGTTCCAAATCTGTTTATCAATTTCACGCTGCTCTGCGCGGGGGGGGGGCAATGAACTGGAAGTTGATCTGTCAGCACTATCGTTATCTTCAGGGCAGATGTTTTTATTTTATTCGGCTTATAATTCCTTACTAAATGTAGTATTTAATCTCGATGTACTCCGTCTTTGATATGATTTAAATCAAATTCCTCGTCATTATAAATATCATGAATACAAATCAAATAGTTTTCTGGTTGCAATTTTCCTAATTTCGGCTATGCGTAAGGTATGCTTTACGCATGCGCGTTGAAAGAAATGTCTAATAAAGTTGAAAGAAATGTCTAATAAAGTATCAAACAAATAAATATTAAGCTTCTTTTTTTTGTAAATTTTGATACCCTTTAGATCATAATTGCTCATTATTTTATAAATTATGGTTTCATATTTTTAATTTTATAATTTCTGCATGCCATCTTACCAGATTTAAACTGATGATCTATAATCCAGAAAAATCGATAGTCCGGAATTGCCAAAGTCCCGACGAGTCCGGATTAAAGACTTTTGACTGTACTAAAGAAGGCTAGTCATGGTACATATTGTAAAATGTATATGTCATATAAAAATGTTATTATAAGGTAGATGAACTATAAGGAAATTTTTCACTATGTTTTATAGCTTTTTGTAGCATTAATATTAATCATCTTTATTTACATTAATATTAATCATCTTTATTTACATTAATATTAATCATCTGATTACATTAAATTTCTTTTTCTATTAAAAGTGTAGTTAATGTGTGTATTTCAATATTATCTTCAAAAATATTTTAAACTTATAATATTAAATTGTTAAGAGACATTTAATTTGTTCTTTTTTGTTTTTAATTTGTATTAGTCAGAAGTAGGCTCTGCAGTCATGTGGTAGAATTTATAGTAAATTTTATAGATATGTACATTATCACCTGTATTTTTAAAGATACAGTTTGCAGACATTTGTAAATTTGTTAAAATAGTATGCTTAAAAATTCATGTAAAACCTGCATCATTCAAGACTATTTTTTTGATTTGAAGGTTATGACATGTTGATCTTTTGGTGCTTTTAATCAAGTTAAAAATACATTAGCTGTGTTTTAAAATCTTTTTAAGGATTTAAGCAAATAGTTTCATTTTACTGGCCTGAAGTGTGTTTAATTTTTAGTACTTAGGAAGTAAGGTAAATTATGTATTCTAGGAATTTAAAGAAGGTAGAAAGGCTAGCCATACAGCTCCCCAAGTGCTTTTCAGTCACAAAGAGCCACCTATGGAATTAGCTAATACTGATGCTCGAACTGGTGACAATATTGGCTATATTACTTTTGGTATGTTTAAAAGATACGAGTTTTGTTCTGGAAATGTTAATCACTAAATGAATACTGTATAATGTAGAAGACTGGATATTTATATTAATTTTAGACTTCTATTATAATTAGATAGTATTTGTAATTTATTTGTAACAAACTGTTTACTTAGTTATAGGTGATTGTTAGTGAAATTCATTATTATGCAGTATCAAAATATTTGTATCTGTACTATTTTCTTTTTCTTTCAGTCTTGTTTCCAAGGCACACAAACAAACAAGCAAGAGATAACACAATCAATCTCATTCATACATTTAGAGATTATTTACATTATCATATAAAATGTTCTAAAGTAAGTTTTATTTCATCTTTAGAATGTATTGTCATTTATTATTACATTTTTAATGTAAGTCGTTACTAATCCCATACCCTCAAAGAAGATCAAAGATAGCTTCATATGGATTCTTTTAATTTATTATTATTATTGTTTTCTGAACTTGGTACTAGAAATGAATTAAAGACTGCCAATTTTCATTTTGAAAATTGTTAAATTTTCTTTCTTTTATTTTTACCCTCTGTGTTTTTTAAAATTTTAAGATTAAATAATCTAATTTTACTATCAGCCAATCAATTTCTTTTTCATGTATACTTTTTTGACGCATTGTAATAAAACTTGAATTTTAATTAAATGAGCAACACAGAAAAGATTCTAATGTAATAATATTTCATATTAAACAAGATAATTGCCACTACTTTCTTCTTAATGGGAGGATTCTTCACTTCTATAACAATGACCATCAAGGTATATATTCAGCCTAGAGTATTTTTGTAACATCTTTAAGAAAGTATATGTATGTGCATTTTGAAATATGTCCAAGAAATTACGGCAGTTTATTAAAAGTGCATGAACCCAGGTATAAAATAGTAGGGGGCCTTTTGACATTAAGGACAATTACTCTTTCTCATGGCAGTTTTGGGAAATTTGACCTTTCTAGCAAAATCCAGTACTGGTCAGATGGTTAATGCTTTTTATTCAGCTGCTGATAAAAATGAAGTGGATGAGGTATAATCCATTATGCTAACGTTGTGTAAATTCATTATGGAGTATGTATTGAATAAAATTTAATGATCATTTCATTTATTTACAATACCTTCACAATGGAGCTGTGTGAAGAAATGAGTCATACAACAGCTGCCTGACCTCATTACATAAATGTCTGACTTATAAATTAAAAACACATGAGCAAAAACAAAGAAATATATACACTCATGGACAAAAAAATTAGCGCACCAAGAAATAATTGTGGGATCATAATGAAACTTGCAATGAAGGTACATGTCGGGGAGATATGCAAATGATTAGAAATGCAGTGTGATTGCGCATTACGTATAGCTGGTAGAGGGTGTTGAACGTCGTACTCTGTGGAGTATAAAACAGGTAACCAAAGCTTGTTTGAGTTTGCTGAATCATTTACAAAGGAAGAGCTGAGGTAGACATGCCATTACGCCGTGTTCAAAGACAATATGAGCAGTTGTCGCAGTTTGAGAGGGGAAGAATCGTCAGGATGATGGAAGCTGGGTGGTCAGCTAAGCGAGTAGCTCGTCAATTAGGCCGCTCTGATTGTGTTGTGAGGAGGAGTTGGGACTAGTGGACCCGAAAGATGTCATGTACACGAAGACCAGGCTCAGGATGCCCTCGACAAACTAGTTGTCAAGAAGACTGCCACATCGTAAGAAATGCACGCGTACAGCCAACTGCTTCATCGGCTGCCATCCAGGCACAGGTAGTACCTTCACTAGGGGCCCCTTTGTCTTCTCGAACCATACGAAGGCGCCTGGCTGAAGGACAGTTATATCGCGGCGTGTATGAAGTAGACAATGTACAATGAAAGTTTGTAATGTATGTTCGAAGTAATTATGTTATATTAATCTGCCATAATCCAACTTTTGTTAATAGGTCAGTAATAATTGTATACTGTGTCTTTGTAATTGTATATTCAATACGTAGTCTAGTATTAATGTAAAATTACTATGTAAATGTCTTGGTAGACTAGCATCCAATGAGGGTCAACTAAAAGCCCAGCGGGGTACAGTAGTGCGGCAGAGCAACACCTGTAAAACTCACTGATGAAGTTGTGGTGCTCCATCCACTTTTCCCTGTCCCTGTTATTGCGGCACCCGTTATGTGTGCTGCCCTTGATGTGGTCCGTTTGGGGTGGTGTTGAGCACGAGGAAACTGGACTGCAGTGGAATGGAACCAGGTTGTCTTTAGCGATGAATCCAGATTCAATCTCGGCGGTGATGACAATCGTGTTCGTGTGGGGAGAGCCCATGGTGAACACCTCAATCCTGCCTTTGTTGTACAGCGACACATCACTCCCACAGCTGGTGTGATGGTATGGGGTGCCATTGCTTACAATACACGGTCACCTCTAGTATTGTTCCGTTGCACCATGACAGCCCAGCGGTATGTTCAGGAAATCCTGCAACCACATGTGTTGCCACTCATGCAACGGCTACCAGGAGCCATTTTTCAACAAGACAGTGCTTGGCCTCATACGGCAAGGGTGTCACAAGACTGTCTCCACACTGTTACTACTCTTCCTTGGCCTGCCCGATCCCCAGCTTTGTCTCCAATCGAGCATATCTGGGATAATTTTGGACGACGAGATGGGCATCCCACGAGTTTGAAACAACTAGAGGCAAAGTTACAGCAAATATGGAACGAAATGTCTCAAAACATCATACAGGACTTGTATGACTCAATGCCCGATCGTATCGCATCGTGCATTTGCATTAGAGGGGGTCCAACGGAGTATTAACTCCTCCGTTCTTTTGCCTTTTTCTCTGAAATAAATTATCCTTTTTCTTTGATTTCCTTATCATTTACTTATATCAAAGTAGTCATTACGTATGTAAAATTTTGTTTCATTTTGACGACTCCTTCTTGGTGTGCTAATTTTTTTTGTCCATGAGTGTATATGAAAACCTGAAAGTTTTCAGATTTCATATTATGCCCAAAAGGCTTTTTTTAACATTTTGTATGTTACATTAATTAATTATCATGTTCTTCATGCTTAAACCATAAAATTCAATTCAACAGCAATATTACAAAATAATTTTAAAAGAGCATATCTTTAGGATTTCCAATACACAGTCTCACGCGCTGGAGATAAAAATGCGTTTTTTTTTTTTTTTTTCCCTGTACAGTGTTGCCATTGCTCACTTTAAAATCGTTGAGTTTCTTAATCAGAAACTCATAAATGCTTTACAAAATATATAATAATTAATAAAACAAATTCCAAATTTGGCCTTCCAGATGCCCATATTGGGTGAAGACATACATTATTCAAAATTTGTTGGCTCTAGGTACCGTTGTTTTATCACAGTGTGAGAAACATACCTACATTTATGCAGATTCTTCATTAATATTTAATTTCTGTAAGTATAATATAGGGCAATGATATATCTGGTGGCAACAATTTGAAAAGTGAAACACCACAATATGCCAAAGTGAAATTATAGCCTTTCTGGGCTAATGCCCTTTGGGCTAACAAATGTTTTAATAAAAGACTATAAAGCTTGGCTGACTAGTGTACAGATGCATTCATTCCATACACTGAATGAAAGCAAGAAGCATTATTTTTTCTGGAATATGAGATCCCTTAATGGCTATGATTGCTTTGTAGTATTTACCTGTACTTAACACAAAGCAACTGATGAAATGCTGAAATACTATTCCCCACTCCACTCCTTCCTGTTAGTGCTGTTCTTAACAGCATTGTGCAGTGGATGTAGAAGTGTCACAAAACATATCCATGGAGTGTTCTATACACATTCTGTGGCAGTGGTCCCATGCTCCACCTATTGATTCCCAAAGCACTTTTATATGGCCCATAAATGCATTAAATTTATATAGGGTGTCCATAGTTAATTTACCAGATAAATATATGCTTTAAATAATATAAACTAAAAGGTAGGGAAGAAGACACTGAATTTTAGTTAGCACTTCAAAGAATTTTATATTAATACACTTCAGTATGAGGACCAGTGTTGCCAGAAAATTTTCAAAAAGTAGCAGAAGGAGCCTAAAAAAGTCGCAAAAATCGCAAATGATGTCAGAGGTCACGTTTTTTGTTTTTTTTTTTTTTGTTTTTCCCCCCCCCCCCCGTCACTCATAGTTATGCATGCTCACATGACCTCTGATGTCATCAGAAATTTACAGTCTATTGGTTCTGTAAGTTACATACTGCATTTGATTGTTAGTCTTTTTCATTTGTCTTAGCTTTAACAAAAATTTTAAAACTATATTGATCATTTTCAGTTATTTAAATATCCATTTCTTTTTAAATTAATTCTCATTTGATTTAGGTTTATATATTTATTGCGGATATCCATTCTTAAGAGATTCCTCGTGTTTAGACAGTTAGCTCTTTTGTACTAAATTTTTTGAGTTGGCAGTTAAGTTTTTTTCCCCCTTAATTGTGAACCTTTTAATTGAGGAATGCATTTCAGGGAGTTTTCCATTCTGTGTGGTGGATCTGTTTCAGATTTTAATTACTTAAAAAAGCTTTGTTCTTTTACTATTAAAATTATTTGCATTGTTATTTAGAAAATTTTCTTTCATTTTTAAGTCATTTTCATTGCTTAGTTCTTAGCAATATTATAATTAGGAGTACGAATTTCATTTCTTTCTCTGTTTGGGTACCTAATATATGGCATGCAAGCTGCAAGTTCTTTGGTTCGATTCATTATCACCATAGAACTGGGGGGGGACTGTTATTTCTTTTCACATCCCTTACCCCTTTCTCATTATACTGGTGTCAGGCTGTGCAGCCTTGTAAAGGAAGGCCCATATGTAAATTAGATTGCCAGATGCCAATTTCTATTTAAGCCTAAATAAACTTTTTTTTTTTAATATAAATTATTTTTAATTCATGCGTTATTTTAACATGAAAGCATTTTACGATATATTAAAACAATCTTTGAAATATATATTAAAACTTTCTTGCATAAGAAAATGATGGACGCTGCAAAAATTTCGAAAAATCGTAAATGTTAGAATTTTAGTAGCACAAATTTGTCAAAAGTCACAAATTTGCGAAAAATCGCACAATCTGGCAACACGGACAAGAACCATTAGTTGCTCGGAGAATATCGAGTCTTTGCAATTTTCCTCTAGACATTATTAAGTGTTTGTGAAGTCACATTAGCTGTTTCTTTGTTGATTCAATTTTTTAATTCTTCGATGCTGCAAATCTCTACAATATAAACTCAGTTCTTCATATATCCACAGAAAAAGAAGTCGATTCGTGTGATGGCTGGGTGGTCTTGAAATTGGTCCACCTCTAACAGTCCAGTGATCTGGGTAACACAGAAAATGGGAATCAGAATGAATTGTACCTCTAAAAACACATACATGGGATCATCTTTCTGTGATCTGTTATCACTAAAAAACTATTAGAAAATTGCACAAACTGAGCATCGTGCATAACTTTGGCATTGTGCATCTGCAGACAGTCATTGAACTGAATAGAAATTGAACTATTGTAAATGAGATACAGGTATTTGAAACCGGTTTTTGACCCATGCTCTAATACTTTGTTTGCAATTTTTAATATTGCATTTTTGTTAAATTTGATTGTTTAAGATACTCGACATCACAGAATGTGAATTTTTTCATTCTCTGTTGTGAAGCAGATGCCTTATTTCTGCTGAAATGACGCACTTTCTTATTCATCAACCTCCAGATGTCTTAGCTCAGTTATGAGAAAAACAATTGTGCTCAATTCAAAAAGAAACACTAATTAGAAAAATTACAGTTGAATTTCAAAAGTGGGCATCTATATATACTTAAACAGGTATGTGTTATACACATATATAAGTTGCCACATAAGTACGTTTTGGGGACAATATACAACCCACAAACTGCTTTGCCCCATGAATACTTTTTCACAACTTTTCATTGGGGGGTATTGGTAGTTAGAAAGTACTTATATTTTTTCATTTTTTTAAATAATAATGATTATTATTTCATTAAGTTTTGCCAGGGAAATGTCCTATGTTTTCATGAAAAATTTAAAAAAATAAAACTTTGCATTATTTTTCTATCATTTTACTTAAGCTGTGCAAATCCCCACAGGTTTTTGTATTTCATTTGTTGCATGTCACAAAGCTACCAACTGTCCTGATTTTACCAAAAGACAGTTTTTCATTGCATATCGTGGTCTCCCAAATCATAGAATCTCCCAATTTTTAATTTTTAGACTTGACCGAGGAAAGTATTTTCCAGCAATAAATGAAATTTAAAATGAGCAAATTCCGTTCCCCAACTTTAGCGATTTTCAGCTTAATTTTTAAAATTAAATTTTATGTTACCTGAATTATCGTAATCTACTGTAGATATCTGTAGAACATTTTATGGAGATTCAACTTGAGTTTAATCTGTTAATATCTGTGTTGAATTATGTTTTGAATAAATATATGATGTATAGCTATGTTTATCTACATAATTGTAATAATAATTGAAATAATTTTAAATTGAAAGAATTGAAATAATTAAACATATCTTTAGAATTTCTGATACACAGTCTTCCGCGCTGGAAATAAAAATGTTCTTTCCGTACAACGTTGCAATTGCTCGCTTTGAAATCCTTGAGTTTTATTAATCAAAATTCGTTAAAGTTTTACAAAATATGAAATCAATAATAAAATAAATTCCAAATTTGAGCTTCCAGATACCCTTATTCGCAGTAGGATTACGTCATTCAAAATTGGATGGTCTAGGTACCGCTGTTTTATCATGAGAGAAAATACATACATTTATGCAGATTCTTCATTATTTAATTTGCTCAAATATAATACAGAGTGATAATATTTGGTGGCAACAGTTTGGAAAGTGAAACAGACATTCAGAGTGATTCGTCGCATAATTGCGAAATGAAAACAATAGTCCCTCAAGGGCTTTAAAAAAAAAAAGAAAGAAAGAAAGAAAGAAAAAAAGCTAAAATATGTTTTCCTATAGCTTATAAGTTTTTGCAAGTACATGTGTATAGTTAGTGTAAAAGCTATTCTTTTTAAATAAAAATAACCATATTTGTGGGGGGGGGGCGGATTAATGTCTGAAAAACAATTTTAGATGTTTATAAATTTAGTTTACTTATTTAAAAATCTTCAAAGGCAAACAAAATATGCATTTTCTTCCCCTCCTTTTAGGACAAAACAACGTTCAGACTTTTTGGAAGTTCCATGAATACAAATATTTTTTCAAAGTAACAACATAAATTCTAAATAGAGCATTACTTTTAACACGCATTAGTTCACTGATAATACTTTGATAACAGAAACGAGGTAACTATAACAACAGAATGCGAAATACTAAACACAGCAAATCAATCCAGAACAGTTCTGATCTAAAAGCATGAAAATACAATTACTCCAAATCTTTTTTGTAAATAAATATCTCAAAGAAACCATTGCAAATTTATGCAGGTTGGTTTTTTTTTTAAATTGAAATTGGTAAAAATTACGAGTACAAATATACAGCTGAGCTGAAAGACTGTTCACAAATTTAAGCAGAATATCTTACATTAGAAAATATGAAGAGAAAAAATGAATGTGCGTGGATACTCTCAGCTGATTAGTTGTGTTTACAGAGTGTTAAATTTTGCGATTTTTTTTATATTAGCTAAAATACTTATACTTGAAATGTAAACTGATGAAAATATTGTGTAACTGAAAGCATACTCGATGCATATTCGAGAGGTCCAGGGTTCAAGTCTCGATGAAAGCATTGCATATTTTTCTCGTCTTCTGCTTAAAAAAAAAACCTAATGACTTTACAGAGTTGTAAAAAGGATTCAAAATTTTTGGCTCATATTTTTGCCGTTCAGGCATGTTTATTCGCAAAGTATATACGAGCTGTTAGCACACAGAATTACTAACTCAGTATTTCAAAACACTGGAAAATAGCAAAATGATTAATTTAATTACTCTTTGCTTTCAAATCCAATAATACAATCAGATGGATGTAATAAGACTTATTATAATGATCTAATATTATGATTTGCATTTTGCGAACTGTTTTGCTATTACTTTTAAGATACATAAGACTAATGAGCTTTAAAAACATGAGTAGCCTTCTTTAGTTGCTATTTATTGTTACTTTGGTTATTATTTCCAACTTTAGCAGTGAGATCAGCATTTTAATTAGCATGATTCAGAAAGACAAAGAGAAAAATGGAGAAGGAGAAAGAAGGACGAAGGGGGGGGGAGTCTCTGTAGTGTGGACGCACTCATTTGATCAATGTTTGTGTTTACAAGTAACGTTATAGAGTCATTAGAATATTTTTGCAGCAGGAGACACGAAAAGTAAGCAATGCCCTAGCCGAGACTCGAACCTGGACTTCTTGAAGGAGGGAGAAAATATCGGGTCAGTCCATAAGTTCAGTGCGCATTATTCACTATGACGCATTTACTAAAACAATACAATTTTGAACCTGTTGAAACTTGTCATCGTTTGACTAATATATTATTCAGTTCATCACCAACTTTTGTAAATATTGAACGTATATTAGTACCCATAGAAGATGAATACAGATAATCAGTACAAACGTGCTGTGCTACATTTTTTTATTTTCGTGTGGTGAATCTACCAGGTTTGCAGCGATAAAAATTAATAGTATACATGGTGAACACACTATTAGTGTAAGGACTACCTAGAAATAGTTTAAAAAATTTAAAGTTGGAAAAAGCAGCATTGATGATAAACCCCGTTGAGGACGTTTTGAAGTGTTAGAACCAAATCAAATGATTAATTAAGAAGTTTATTGTGAACAACTTTGCCGTCTAAACTCAGAATTGATCAAAAAATGGCCACGATTGGTGAATATTAAGAAAGTGTTGTTTCTTCATGATAACGCTTAGACCGCATAGGGCTCAAACAACGCTGCAAAAAATATTAATGAATTCAATTGAGAGCTTTTGCCACATCCTGCTTACACCCCAAATATTGCCCCAAGTGATTTTCACTTATTTCATGCCTTACAAAATTTTTTAAACAGGATGTACTCGATGAACTTTCAAGTTTTTTTTGCATCAAAACCAGAGTCTTTCTACAGCAATGGCATAAAAAAGCTGCCTGTAAGATGGTGAGACATTGTAGATAATGGAGAAAAATATATAATTGATTAAAATGTTAAATTGTGTTTTTTTATATTATTTAAAAATTTATCAAAAAATGTGCATGAATTTATGGACTGACCCAATAAAATAATAACAGATTAATTTTTTGAGTGTTCGAACCCAAATATAATTGCATAAATTTATTAAATATGTGATTGCATTAAATTTTGCTGTTAGTTTAAATTTAATGCAAGTACATATGTTGAATGTTTGTAGTTGAAATAGCATTATGAATCAAAAATGAGTATGTAAATCTGTAATTAATACTTTTATTCATCTTACTCATTTTATTTGCATCACTTTCACATTAGTATGAATTTACACTTTTAAAATTTTTGATGATTTATTTACTGTGATTGTACTGAAACCTTTTTACTAAGCTTACTTTCACTCTAGGCATATATTCATTCTCGTATGCGTGCCAAAACATCAGACTTTTTGAAGGTCTTAAATAGAGCAAGACCCGAGCCAAAAACAATAGAAAAAAAAACTATGAGGTAATTAACTTTTTGTTTGCATACTGAAAGTTAAATTTTGTATTCCTATGTTAATTTTATACTTTTGATAATAATTTGAATTCATAATTTATGTATAACTGTAATACTGCAGAATTCCAATAGTTTATGCATCTAGAGACTAAAGGCCATATGGATTAGAGAATTTTTCAGATAAAAGATCATATTGTACTGTGTTTTGTAGACACATCTCCTTTTCTAATTTTTACATTAACTTTGGAGTGTTTTCATATCAATGACAAATCAAAACTTCAAGAATTACTTAAATATGATTTATTGTATTCCAAACTAGTATACTTTTTTAATTTTGAGGAAGGAAAGAACTCTGTAAAGACACATCAAAATATTTTATTCAAAAAAAAATTATACATTAGTCAGCAAAATTATTTTCAAAGTATTTTTTATGCTTGTAAATAAAGGAATAAATGATTGAGTAAATAAATACACAGTTTACAGCCTGTGATAAAGTTTTCCTGATATTTAATCTCTGAGCTAATTCTACCCTAACATTCTGTGCAGGTACAATTAAATTAATAACACTGCTAGCAGTTAAAAAAAAAAAAATTGCTGGAATTAAAATTTTGGATTTTTTATGGTCTTCAGTCCATTTTTCTGTTTTCACTTTTGATACTAGAAACATTTCTACAAGTGCTGTTTTTAAAAATTTATCCTTATTCACTGCCAATATAAACAGGTTAATTCTTGAATGGAATGTAAATAAACAAGCTACAGAGTGCATTTAAGCTGAATTCAGTGCTTAAATGTTGTGAATAAATAAATTCTTAACATATTAACGACATGAATGCAAAATTAATATTAAAAGGCAACAGAATTTACATTAAAAACTAATGATTGATCTAATATGCAAAATATTTCAAAGATTCATAGTCCATGTTTCCTCTAAAAAGGAGAGTTCTGATATGTGTGCAGAAAAGTTAAATAATATGAACAATAAAATAAATTCACATCTTTAACCAAATTGTGTGTTTTGTTAAAATGTTTATTTGCATGTTTAAATGAGAAACACTACTATTGAATTTGCCGTGTGGAATTTTCTGAAAATAAAAATTTAGTTTGTTTGCATCCACAAATGAGTGTAGATTGGCTGGTTATGAATTATTGAAACTGTATTGTATATTAAGTGGAATTTAAAATTTCCTTTCTAGCATGGTAATTTGGTCTTTTCAATAAGTTTTTAAACAGATATTTTGATTTATGTGTTTGTGTTTTAAATTTAAAAATTTAAAGTACCTGTAAGTCGTTATTGCCCTTGGAGATGAAACAGTGGGTAACCATAAGTAAATAATTAATTTATTCTTTGCATAACATTGATAACTGCTTGTATTTGAGAACATGATCTGACTAGTATTTAACATTTTTCTATAAAGAAAAAAGCTAAAATGAAGTGAAGGTTGAAGTGTTAATGTGAAATGATATTGCTTTCTTTGTTCAAAGTTGGGCCTATTTTGTCATTAAAGCAGATGCAACATTGGCAGATAGGTGTTCAAATCAAAGTGTAAACTTAAATATGTGGATATCTGAATTATGATTTCTTCTTTTTAATCCGTGACGGATTGCACAAGAATTATGTTAAACTTTCTTTAACTTGATGCTGCATAAAATCACTTTGTATGCACATACGCAACTGGCATATGAGCAGAGTATGATTTTAGATGTTGTCAAAATTGGTAAAAATTAATGTCTAATGTCAGCTATATATTTAAATATAGCATAAGATTGTAGATACTATCAAAGCTAGCATAGCCATGTAGAAATTATGAATTTCATTGTCACAGTTTATTAGCTGAATTGGAATAGATAATAAGCTCAATAATGTTACAATTCATTATATTAGAGAATTAGTTGTTATTGTAAGATATTCTGAAGAAGAGATAAAAAAGCAAGTTACTGATCAGTGTCACTAGCAAGTCCTTAAATTGGTTTCTGTTTGAATGAGAGCCATTTTTGAAAAGAATGTCATTTCTTTTCAAGTTAAAGCATCGAGTGGTAACTTGAATTGTTAGAATGATTGAGAAAAGATATGTTCGGTGTTTTTAGCTTGTCATGAGAAATAATTTTAATCTTATAGTGCAAAGGATTTTAGAAACTTAGAATTCTGTTCTTTTTTTAGTGTATCTTTTCATCATCATTCCATTCATTATCTTTACTGACTAGTATATTTATTCCTTTTTGTGAAAAGATTTCTCTATTCGTAACTGTGTGATTTTTATTGAAATCACATTTATGAAGAAATATTTTTATTTATTTTGATTATAGATGTATAATCATATTTTCTGTTGCATTGGTTGGAGATATGCATGAATGCCTTATCCATGTTACCTATGGATTTTTTTTTCAGTGTTATAAAGAGAAACTGTCATTTATGTTAACACTTTACCGACTGATCGCCTAGTAATCAGCATTTTATCGCCATGTCTACTGACCAGTAGCCTATTAATCGCTACCTAAAAATAGACTATCAATCGGTAGTCATGGCAATAAACAGTTACCATCTACTATATCATCTGCATTTTATTAGTAGTATTGAGGTACATTGCTAACTTGCGATAAGTGCCTTGCTTCGTTAACTCCCACATTTTCACATCATTTTAAAAAAATTTACCATTCACAATGACAAAAAAAAAAAAAAAAAAAAAAAAACAAAAAAAAAAAAAAAAAAAAAAAAAAAAAAAAAAAAAAAAAAAAAAAAAAAAAAAAAAAAAAAAACAAAAAAAAAAAAAAAAAAAACAAAAAAAAAAAAAAAAAAAAAAAAAAAAAAAAAAAAAAAAAAAAAAAACAAAAAAAAAAAAAAAAAAAAAAAAAAAAAAAAAAAAAAAAAACAAAAAAAAAAAAAAAAAAAAAAAAAAAAAAAAAAAAAAAAAAAAAAAAAAAAAAAAAAAAAAAAAAAAAAAAAAAAAAAAAAAAAAAAAAAAAAAAAAAAAAAAAAAAAAAAAAAAAAAAAAAAAAAAAAAAAAAAAAAAAAAAAAAAAAAAAAAAAAAAAAAAAAAAAAAAAAAAAAAAAAAAAAAAAAAAGGTAGTTAAGAGTTTTATTTAGACAATTTATCAGATTCTCCTGACAGTTATTCAGGACAGGGAGAATCTGCAGCTGAGCGGCCGTTCGGACGTGTGTATGCTGTTGAACCGCTAGCAATCGGTAAAGTGTTAAAATTATTTTTGGCCTTAGTTCAGAATATTTACTGTTTAGAGAGGCTGGGTACCAGGAATTAACAAAAGTGCATTTTTGAGGATATGAAGCATTAGAATTTGTAATGTGTGGATGGGAACTTACGTTTAAATTAGTCAAAAATGCACCAGTATGGTGACATGTATTTGGGATAAAATTTAATTAATTTCAAGAGCAATCTGGAAACATTTCTACAAGTGCTGTTTTAGGTTTCTTTACTTCTTCAAAGCTGGGAGAAGCAACAACTGTATTTTTAGGAAATGAATGGACAAGGAAAACAGAAAATAAATGTAGCACCATCTGTCAAGGAAAAGGAAACATGAAAAGCTAAGCTTTTGGAATTTTGAAAGTATTGAATTAGAATCCATGCCTTTAACTAAAAAGGATGTTTTTTTGTAAATGTGAAAAGTTTGAAGGAATTGTAGGCTTTTTTTTCCCCATATTAACACAACCACCTCTGCGATTTGGCAAGTTTTTACAGATGTAAAGGTAAAAAGATTCCCAAGTTAGTTATTTTTATCATAAGTCAGCAGACATTATCAACATATAAACAGAAACATACTTTAGGAATTTAAAATACAAATACTAATTATTAAATAAGGAGTATGTGTTGCATTAAAAAATAAAAACTTGCATTTTTAAAGAAATCGTTTTGTAGTTTTTTTGGTACTATTCTTCTAAGTACAAGTGACAGAGGACATGAGCACCACCCCTCTACCATAGTGGTTAAATGGTATAGCACTGCATCCCCTCTTTCTTAGTACAGAATGATCTGTTTAAAAAAAAATCTGAGAATCTGAGACTCGGTATCACACAAATCTGAGAAGTACCGGCTATCTACTAAAGGTAACTCCTCGTTACTCCCTGTAGAAATTTTGCAGCAGAATTCTGTATTCTTGCAGAAATTGTACCACAGTTTCATCCATTCCACAAGCGCATATTTTAAAATTAAGGTAAAAATGTGTATATAAGAATCATTAGGACTCAGAGTAAAATAAAAAAAAAATTAAAAAAAAAAAAAAAAAAATTCATACAAAAATGGTGGCGTGCTTGACAGAAGAACTGTTATGAGCGTGGTTTTCTGAGGAATGAATGGTTGTACACATAGTTGTAAGAGTGTGGCACATTCTAAAGGTGGTTATGATAATATACGAGTACCCTATTTTTTTAAAGGGGGGCCTAGTTTCACATTATAAATTGGCATATTCACCTATTAATTAAACTTTGGAGGTTTGTGTATGTATCTTTTTTTTTTTTTTTTTTTTTTTTAATGTGTATATGAAAGTTCTATTCTGCTAAATTTTTAATAATTTTTTCCATCTTTTCATTAGCGGGCGAACTTTTGTGCGATACTGATCATCTGGTTTCATGAATCAAACTGTATAAAAATTCATTCCTGAGGAAATTATCAAAACTTTGGTGAAGCTGGTTTTCTTTAAAGAATATATTTTCTCAATTTGTTACCATGAACATTTTTGATTTCACTAATTTCGAGACAAATGAGAGAATATTTTATGATTGAAGATTAATTTATGAATTTTTTAATTGCTGTATATGATTTTCTTATCTTGTGTTGCTGTTCTTTTTGGAAATACTTCGATTAAAACTAAAATTCCTATGTAATTATAGCTGAAGTGTGCTGTTAATCTCTTATGTAATTATGTAAGTTATTTGTACAATAAATATCTTACATTTCTGTTATGCTGTGTTTTTATTTTCAAGAAAAGTAAAGAAAAGTTTTATCTTATTTGTTATATTCCATTCTGTGGTGGACAGAAACAATTTTTACTGTTGACAGAACTCAGCAGATTATTAAGTATGCAAATATTTGTGAATTATAGATAAATTAAATGTACATATGTAGGATAATCTGAATTAAACATTACTTTTTATGTATGTTTTCGAACTGTTGAGGGGAAGAAATTTTTCAGGCATTGGTATTTAAAAAAATTCAGATTTTATATTAATGCGCAGAAGGGCGTTAATATAAAAATGGGGATTTAAAACAAGATTTGAAAAGTGATACAGACATTCAAAGTCACTTGACGCAAAATACCATTAGACACTGTAAGATCTTTGCGTTACATTATGCTACCAACATAATAACCAGCAAGAAATGTAAAGAATCTTCATGCATAAAATATACATGCTTGAAGGTGCATGCAATGTTAATGTTGAACGCTTTGAAATTGTTGAGTTTGTTGATAAAAACTTCATTAAAGTTTTACTGAATTTAAAATAAAACAAATTCCAAATTTGGTCTTCCAGATGCCCATACTCAAGTGGAGATACTCAAGCGTTATTCAAAATTTGATGTCTCTAGGTACCATTAATTTTTCACAATGCAAGAAACATACATATATTCATGCAGATTCTTCATTATTTAATTTCTTTAAATATAGTGCAGGGCTGTAATGCTTGGTGGCACTAATTTGAAAAGTGATGTAGACTTTTATAGTGAACCAATACAAAATGCCAAAACGAAATTAATAGCCATTTTTGGCAACTTCCTCCTTTGGGCTAAAAAAACTTTTATTACAGCAATTGTTAAACATTATAGGCAGGTCTCCTATTATTTTGAAAGAGGCAATTATTAGTATTCGATTTGCAATTATTATCCATTAATATTCATACTCAACATCCACATATGAAATGACATGCATATTTAACTATAAATTTTGGAGTATAGAAAATAGTATATTTTCTTAAGTTTCTTTTTTCTTTAAAGGAAAGAAAAATGAGTGGTTTATTTATTTATAACAAAAACTCTTCTTAGGGATACAATATTATCAGAATAAGGTTATTATTTATCAAGCAATATCATTTTGCCCTATTATTAGATAAGATTTAAATCTATTTTATTTTAATACATGAAATTTGGTGTGCAAAACATACTTCCAAAAAGTGCTAAGACATAATGCTTTACCAATGCCCATTTACTTAATGTATAGTAGAGATACCAGTTAAATGAAATTTATGTATTTTATATGTCTCCTTTGATTTTTATATCTTTACTTCTCTATTAAGGCATTATAATATACATCAACCATGTGATGCATATAGCATTAAATAAACTTAAGTTAGATTTAATGTTACAGGTGGATGTGTGAAAATATTATTCACAATAGATTTATAACTAGATCATTATGCAACTACCTTTTTTTCTTTTGGTATGTGTCTAAACCTATGGACTATATGTGATCAATTGTAATATACTTACTGCTGAATAATTTTAAAGGGAATGTTATTTATCAAGCTTAATAACTAAATTTTAAAGTATTCAAATAATTCAACTTTAAGAATGTAATGCAACATGCCAGTTCCAAGTTTAATATTATTTAATAATATTTTATTTAATATGTCATAAATTGAGTCTAAAACTAAACTTAGTGGCCCTAGTGGGCCAAGGCCTGCAGTGCCCGAAATCTGCTTTCGTGACCATGGGCTCCGGGATGCGTGAGCATATGCCCTGAACAAGTGGTTAGCTTGTTGCAGGACCCCCAGTGTTTAGTCCCCAAGCAAACTTGGTACTCATTTTGTTGGCCCAAGTGATGGAAATCAAGGGATGAAAGACTGAGTCAACCTTGCCCAGCCCGGGATCGAACCCCGGACCTACGGTGCTGTTGCGCAGTGTGCGCCACCAGGCCTAAAATTGAGTCTAGATCTGCATTTAAAATTTGAGTGCTCTCTTCAATAGCAAAATTTATCATTTTTCTATTTGTAAATTTCCTGGAAAAAGTACTATGAAAAAAAAATTATTTTTCTAGTTATTTTTTGTTCTTATGGTATCAAAAGATCTTTTAAGATCATCTTGAATTGCATTATTATATTGAAATTTGTACCACATTTATTGCTGCCTTGTGTAATTTTATGAGCTCCTCTCTGTTGCAAAATTATATCTGTAAAGGAATGCAGTTGAGTTTATATTGGGAAGAGTGGTGTTTTATAATCTGCATATTTTATTCCTTTAGTATTTAATTAATTTTTCAGTATTCAAAATTTATTTTATTATTGCTTGGATTAAAGATAAAATTTGATTCAATGTATAAATAATTTTTAATGTGACTTTTTCCCTCTTTTGTGCAACTATCTGTTACGTCTACGTGCCAGCAACGAACACACTCACCTACCGGCCGACACGCAGGCATGACAGAGCATTTTCCCGTTTACTACCTACTGTCACGTATTTGTGCCAACGTCCTGGAACGTTTTTCAAACTATAATTTCTGCCACAAGATGGCACTGTATGTCCATATGGTTTCAGATACATGTACATTAGACCTTCTACTCGAAATGAGAGAAGCATGACTCACATACACGTGTTTTTGATTATATAAACAAACGGGGAACTAAATGTTTCCGAATGGCGTGATTTATGACGTCTCTTTAAATCGCACTTTATTCGCACGTTGGTAGTTGTTTATTGTAAGTAGAAGTTTTATATGCGCTAAAGCGTTGAGTATCGGTTTACAGTTCAGTTTTTAGAAAATAATTATATCTTGTTAGACGTGAATTCTTTCTGATTTTACCGTTGCAATGTCGAAGCGTCGAAAATGTTTAACAGAGCATGAAATAGCAGAAATGATGCAAAATATTTCAGATATTGATTCTGAAATTCTGATATTCTGATATTGATTCTGAAAGATTAACTGAAAGACATTTTCCAAAACTTTGTTCAGAAGAGACTGATAAGAAAATGAGATGACGTTGCTTCATTTGTTCACATTCCCGGAAAAATCCTCCAAAACGGCAAATGAGTTATTACGAGTTCAAGGAATGTAATGTAGGACTGTGTGTAGATCCATGTTTTCAAATTTTTCATACGAAAAGAGAATTTTAAGTAATATATTTAGTTTTCAGATGTATAATGTTAAAAGTCATAAAATGGTGAGTAATTAAATAAAATGTGTAAAATATGCATTTAAACAAGAAATATTTTCGGGGGTAAGTGTAAAAGTATATTTTATGAAATATCCATAAAGCATAAGCCGTTTTAAATACTCTATAGAGCATTACATTAGAAACAATGCGTTGATCTTCGAAGAAATTAAAAAATGGATTTAGGCTTTAATTAGCATTACAAAGCCCCCGGGCTTTGGAGAGAACTGCTCGCGGAAGACACTGCCAGCCTCCGCGATAAGCGCGCGTTTATCGCTACCCGGCTCGATTTAGGGGTTTCAAATGGTCAAAACCTATCCTCACAAGCTACTGCCAGATTTGAAAGCTTAACTGTCACAGATAATACACTGACTACCAATAAGTATTTGGACACCTGTGATAGAAAAGAAAAAACTAACTTTATTCAAAATCAATAGATTGGTAGAGCCTTCCACGAGAGGTAATTACAGCGTGGACCCTTCCGGGGCATACTTTCCATAAGTCTTTGTATGACAGCTAGTGGTATTTTCTTCCACTCAGCTTGAAGAAGACATAGAAGTTCCTTCACCGATTTTGCACGGGTAGTGCACCCCTGAATTCAGGGATGCAACTCGTCCCAGAGGTTCTCGATAGGGTTCATGTCTGGACTCTGGGCAGGCCAGTCCATTCGATGAACTCCATTGGCACCATACCAAGCCTTTCTTAACGTCGAAACATGACAACTGGCATTGTCGTCCTGAAAGTAACAGGGGTCCAGCCCGTAAAACTGCCACAACGTAGGAAGCACATTGTCATCCAAAATAGTGCAGTAGGCATCGGAGTTGAGCTTACCATGAATGGGGACCAAGGGTCCCAGCCCATACCAGGAGAAACACCCCCAGACCATAATTCCACCTCCGCCGAACTTGACTGTTGGCACAATGCATTCTGGCAGGAGACGTTCTCCAGGTAGACGCCAGACCCAGACCCTGCCATCCGAACGGTAAAGGGTGAACCTTGATTCATCACTCCAAAGAACCCGTTTCCACTGATCTACAGTCCAATTTCGATGTGCTTTGCACCACATTAACCGAGCAGCGTGGTTAGACTTTGTAATCAAAGGCTTATGGGCAGCAGCACGACCGTGAAACCCAAGCAGATGTGCTTCCTTATGGATGGGTATTTATTGAAACAATACTCCCGGATGTCTTTTGAAACTCCTCGCAGATGAGGGCCATCGGTTGGGTGCGGTTCTTCCGAATTTCTCAGGACAGCACTCGTCGGTCTCTATCTCCCAGTTTCATTGGTCTGCCGACTCGGAGCACATTCCAACAATCACCGCTCACCTTCCACTTCTTAATCACATAGGCCACTGTCTATTTTGGATACTTCAGATCGCTATATATGTCCCTTAAGGATCGGCCACATTTGTGATACGCGATAATTATACCTTTCTCGAAATCAGAGAGCTCCGAACTGCGAGGCATCTTGCATGCGACTAAAGCCGATGCAGTTTCCTACACGATATATACTGGTGGAGTCTGTGACGTAGCTTAGGACCGCAGATATCGTCATTTGCATAGGTGTCCAAATACTTATTGTATAAAGCAGCTATTGTAATGAGCTGTACGTTACTCTTAATAGTGCATAAATTTTGTTCTCAGATTGGGGAAGAAATTAGGATTCTAACTAGAATGCATGAGAACACCCAAACGAGATAGGTTTGGGCACATTTTATTATGGAATTGAATTAAAATATTGGTAGAAAATTCTATTATTCATATAATTTTTCTTTTAGCAATTCATGAAATTGTAATATCAATACTAGCATACTGAACACTTGA